ATTTAACACCACGGCATTATTGATTTTCTTTATAAACTTTAGTATTTAAAAATAGACAATAAATATTGTCATGAGTTGTGCCCTCTTTATAAGAGTATTGGATATTTTTAAGGTCAAATATTTCACGTGCTTTTTCTGGGTCTATGCCAGATACATTGTAAATACAAGCAATACTATCCGAGGCTGTCTCAGGGTATTCTTCAAATTCTAATCGATATTTTACTTGCCTAGCAATTTCTTTGCTACTATGACTTCCTAATTTAATAATTTCTGAAAATTGCTATTTTTATAAAATAAAATTAGGACACCACTAGACAGTACCCTATGCACTTTGTGCTCTTTACTATAAAATCGCCAATATCTCAAAATTTTGACTAGGTAACCCTGTCATGTAATATAAGCAAAAATATTTCTCTCGCAATTTTACCCTACTCTAACCCTAAACCTAACCTTAAATCTAACTTTAAACCTAATCTAATACTATTGCAGACTCAATTTTGCTATAGAAGCACAAAGTGCCCTGGGGCACTGTTTAGATTTATCTATAAAATTAATATACAAATTTTATTTTATAATATATTTGTAATTTTCAATTAACTTGCCAATAATTACTTCACAAATAATTAATTTATAGACAAACAATTTACAAAAAATTATCTGTAAAGTAATTATTATAAATAATATAAACTCATAATGTTTTTACTTACATCATCTATATTATCTAATTCATTATTGGTAAAAGAACTAGAATTTGGAAGATGACTTGGGTTTATTAGATAATCAGAATCCCACTTATTATAAAAATTAAATATCGATTAATACATACTATTAATAAGTAATAAAACTATATATTTATTTTAAAATTTATTTAATATACTGTTAATAAATTGGATTCTTGTAACTTATCTCTTGTGTCAGTAATTCAACCCTTATTAGATTCATTAGCATTAGCAATTCGATATACTATTTAAGGTTTAATCATCAATATATATACCAAAAAAGAATCCCAATATATATAAAAAATATTAATATATATATACCTTTATTAAAGTCTTGTGCTTTATTTTAAGATTCAGTT